AAATAAAAGTATAATCGTACCTTTTTTGGCGTACAGTTGACATTCAGAGAATTTGCTGTCCAGGTGTCAGAATCGGGTCTATTTGAGACAAGCATCTTTCTCTTCTCGTCTGATTGCTATAACAAAAAAAATTATTAAAATGAAAAATCAATAGAAGATAGATAAGAAATATGATTTCATTTTCAATTTCATTTGATAAAGGTCAAATGAGCATTGTGCATTGACCTTATATCGAGGGATTAGGAATTCGTATAAAGGAGAGAGCTATATTGAATACCTTAAATGAGTATCCTTGAGATTAAAACCATCACTCAAATGAATTTAATGTAAGAAGAGTATAAAAGTTTCAAATAATATTGACTTCCAATGAGGTCTTCTGATTATCAAAGAATGACGTTGTCAGCTGCTGAAGCAGTACCAGATAAGTACGTGTGGGTCAGCTGTTAAACGGCAAAACTATCAAATGTTATTCAATGGAATAAGATTTTGAAACAAAATAATAAAAAATATACAAAATAATGATGATTAATAAACAAAAAGATGGACTTTGAACTAAAAGGAAAACAGGCATGAGAAGAGCAATTTGAAATTTCTTTCTGCTGCTCATTCTCAGCCGATTATCTGAAAACGTTTGTTCCTCTCTCTATCAGAAACTTTCAAGCCAACGTTTCCAATTAAAAACAAGGTGTAAACGAAAGATGAGATTTTCGTTTGTGGAAAACTCAAACTCGCACAAGAAGAGCAGCATATTGACAAAAGAAAATCAAAAATTCATGAATGTTGTGGACGAAACGCAGTCGTTCTCTCAAAACATTCAAAAACCTCTGTTATACATCTCTCTCACACAAAATATTTGAAGGAAAAAAAGAAATTAAGAAAATCTCGCACCTGTTTGTCAGTTTGCGAGTTTCGTTTCCTTCGCTGTCGGATCAAACGATTTCCGTTCGATGTTGAGGATATGGGCGATGATGCAGGTGAAGAAGATAAAGCTTTGGTATAAACTAGTTCGTTGTCCTTAAAAGAAATTATATAACATAGAAATATTGAAAATAACGAATATTTGTAAATAAAAAAGAATTTCCACAGTTAGTAGCCGCCCTTTCTCAAGCTATTCTTCAACCTTTTCAATAAAAAAGTGTACTTGAGAATGAAAGATCCGCCAAAAGAGAATTGAAAAATCAATGCAATTTCTAAGAAATTAAGAAAATTGTCATCCAAATCATTACCACATAAAGCAAAGGAGCAAAGAAAGAACTAAAGCGAATGAACGAAGAGAAGAAGCTTTTCTCGATCTTCCAAATTTTCCAAGTCTAATTCACTGCATTTTTAAAGTAAAAAAGAGAAAGTCCCTCCAATAGATGTAAAAGAAGAGAGGAAGAAGAAATCTTAATTTGGCCTTTTAATTACATCACGAAATGGTTCAACTAATTTTTTGTTTTCAAAATTCCTTGGAAGAGATAAGAGAGGAAGCGTTCTCTTCGTTTTCAAACAAAGTAGTATTTTAAATCAGAAAAATAAACAAAGAAAGGTAAAAAAAGATTGAAATAAGGTCAGAGAGAGTGTTTTGATCAGAAATTATTCAATAAAGCTTAAATAAAAGGTAAAGTTAACGAGAAAATAGCATTCCTTCTATGGAGATGATTATAAAATCGGAAATTAGTCCATCCAAATGTATTTTTATATATTATTTAGAATAATATCTCTCGAAAAGATAGGGGAGGGGGGAGTTTGAAAGAAAATATGCAACAATCTTTCTATTCTGAAGCTATTTCATCTATAAAATAGCTCAACTTATCGTTCTTTGCCATATTTGACACACAAAAAAAACTTTTTGAAAAAAAATTAAATCAGAAAAGGGCCGGATATGAAAGAATTGGAAATAGTGAAAGAAGAAGAAGTGTTTTTTCCTCACAAAACTGGCGTAGTTCAACACAAATGAAACATTATTTGAAAAGAAGAGTAGCCTTTGAGTTAACTCATTATCCAAATGAAAAGAAGAAAAATCGCGAAGGAAATGCACCCCCTTAACCGAACAGAAAGAATTTCAAAAGAAACTCCTTGTAATTAAGACAAAATATATGGAGCGGATTGAAGAGTAAGATAAATGAAATACTAAATCATGCTCAAATACTATTTCGAATCATACAATATTTGGAAATAGAAAAAACTCCGACCTTTTTCTCATCAGACCTGCATGAAAAGCAGGGCAGACAAAGCCAGTTGAACATCGTCGTCCTTTTGTGTTGGCCAACTATCCGTTGTCCGTTTGCATTGCTTCTGAAACGTTATCAACATGAGCAACAAATTCTTTTCTGTTATTAGTTTTCTATTGACTATTTTTAATTGAAAATTGAAAAAAAAAACAAAATAAATATGACATATTGAACAGTTCATTCAAAGCTTTAGTCACAATGCTTATCTCAAACTACTTCAAAGGAGGCCACAGCAGGAATAGAATGAAAAAGGAGTTGAAGAAACTACGCGTAAACCAAAAAGAGTTCAATTCCTTACCCTTTTGTTGTTAAATGATACACACAAGCCCGACTGTTCATTCTGTACTTTCAATAGCTATGAACCAAACTTGTGGAAATTTTAAACAGTCAGTCATTTTCATGCGATAACAGTTATGCTAATGATCAAGACTCTCTTAGGGATATGTTAATTAAGCTACTCAAAAAGAAATTAAGAGGAAAATATGCAAACGAGGATATGCAAAATTGAAATTTGAGTGAAACAGCTCACTCCATTCAATTTGAAATACTTTTATGTATTCCTATAGCAAGGAATTTAATCAAACTATTCAAAAAATATTGTGCAGTGCACTGAACGTCTCGAGACGAATAGAGAAGAAAAGATTGAAACATGAAGAGAACTACATTAGAGTAAGAAAATAATGACAAAAAAACAGACTAAAGCATTCTTTCTTTGAGAGTTTTTGAAAAATGAGTCCGAACTATAATGCAAAATAAAAAAATTCTCAAAAAGAACATGATAGATGAAGAAGCTCGAGAAACTAATGTCAAATACTTATGAAAAAAAGAATCTCCGAGATTAGATGAAATATGAGATTGTCTCAGAAATTCTAGCGAATTATAAAAATAATAAGTATGAGAAAAAGAACATACCCGACCGGCTCTTATACTTCATTTTGATTAAATGAAATTCTCTTTAAGGTTTTACGTCAAAAATTTACGTGAAACATTCAAATGCCACGTGTGTTATGTCACTGTTATTGCACAAAAAATCACTTTTTCTCAATCGATATTTTCAAGCAATAACTTGGAGTAGAGTAGGAAATGGTAAGCAATGAACTTGTTGTACTGTAGATCTTCGACAAAACAACAATTCTCAAGAAATTTCGAAACAATCACCCTCAGTTACGAAAAGGAAATGTTAGTTCAAATGTGACAATAACAAATAATAAAAGGAAACCAACAGTAATCTCTAGAAATATTCTTGGAGAAATAGTTTTGACCTGCGGTCTTGCGAGTTTCTGGCAATACTTTTCGTAGAGGAAAGGGTGTGTGGTCCCACGAGATTTCAGTTTCTTTTTCTAAAACATCTCTCGTTCAAAGGCAAGTTCATCGCTTTCTCCTACATTGCCTTTCATTCCATCCTCTTCGCTTTCTTGAATTTTCTGCGTCATCTTATACTTCATTCTTTCACATCTCTTGCGGTTATTTTCCAGATGATGACTTTTTTACTCGAAAGAAAATGGCGAAAATATTTTAGTCATTTCTCTTCGGATACTCCGCTTGTTAAAAAGTTGGTTCAGAGGAGAAATAAGAAAATGCAGATAATTATGCGACAATGACACTCTATTAACCCAAAAACAGAGAAAGGAACAGATTTATTTGGAAAATATGATCAAAGATGATTTATTGCACATAAATAGAAACATACTCGAATCTATTTCGAATATCACGACGTGTTCAATGCGAATAACAAATGAAACTGACAGTCAAAGGACACAAACAGGGAATTCTTTTTTTCGAATCTTTGAACTTCAAAAATTTTCTCGAAAATTTGAAGGAACTATGCAAGCTTGTGTTTCTTTTTACTTTCCACTCAAGTAGTCAAGATGCTCAATTTCTAATAAGAGACAGCGGGGTATTAAAAAGATTATTTCGTCCAATTGTTTGCACGTTAGTACAGAGAAATCATAAAATATGTGAAGAAATTGTTTTTTGAGAAGATTCTGTGGGTAATGTAAGAATCTGTTTTTGTTTCAAATATAAAGTTCCCCCTTCCGAAGTTATTTATTGATTACAAAAACTGTTTCTCTAAAAGTTCTCCATCCTAGTCTAGTTATTATTAAAATAAAAAAGTGAAAACAACTGTAATCATCACCAATTTTCATTTAAAAAATCACTCGAAAGGTAGAAATAGTTCGTAAAATGCCAAAGTCTCTAACGCAAAGAATGCAGGCGAATTCCTTTTAAATTCAATTCGTGCTGCCTGATTTCGGATTCCTCTCGCAAAATAGATGGCATTCACTACTAAAAAACACTCAGATTTCCAGTAATCATGTGCGGAAGCTGATCTGCGATAAGGAAAGGGAGTGTCAGGCTTTTGCTGGGTTATCTTTGCTCATCTTATTGCTACTGAAGGGTCTGTAGGATTGACACGGTAAATAACTGATATATATATATATATATATATATATATATATACAATATAATATATATCAGTTATTAATCGGATCTCAGTATTTAAAGGTTTATCGCTGAATACATTGGTGTAAAAAGAATAAAACGGAAAAGACGGTTACAGCAATGAGCAGAAGTCTTAATGAATGAACTAGTATGCAAAGTACAATAAGTGACTTTTATCTGGAAACTCTACATCAATTCAGTACATAAAGGAGTAATGAAATAAGTTGGGAGTGAAGTTAGCGGGAAGAGGAGGATTAAGAAGAAGGAATAGAATTTCTAGTTAATACCCCTCTCCATTCTGGATCAAGAGCATTATGTGGGCAACAGATTTTCATCCAAGAGACCTCATAGAAACAATTTAGAAACAATCACTAGCAATAGTGTTCTTCCGGAAACGGAGGGTGCTGTGTGTTTCCCAACATTACAAAAATCTGTGTCGCAGCAAGTTGAACACCTGGAAAAGTCGCCGTATCGACTATACTTCATTCGGCACAAACCCGACAAATCTGTGCTCCATATCAGAGAGAAATGTACATCCTTCTCTGCATAAAGAATTGCAGGAGCGCTCAAACATATAAACAGAGTCATCAACCTCAGAGAATAAACGCCATACCTACGAAATTAAATTCTATCACCACATCAGAGATCAACAAACTTGACACTGCCCATTACACAACTCCCATTTGCTACTTTTAGGATAAACAGAACAAGTACTGTTCCCAGATTCGGAAGAACACATATAACAAACTAATGAGTTGGCTTTTCCTAGACTCATTAATAGTAGGATGAATGCAACAGTTTCCATAACTTTTGCGAATCATAAAGTAGTCTCTCTGTTATGCCCCAACCCCTTCTTCGGATCGATACTTTGGACACATTTCTAACAACTCAATTAAGCTCAAGAAAACGAAAAGATGCAACAATGTCTTCATTCAAGAATCAGAACTGATGCAGTATAACAATAACAGGAAGATATCCAGACATTTAGAGCTTCAGTTTGGTGCGTCTCCAGTGGCGTCTCTTGGAGTTATACTTGATCTAAAACAAAAAAATGATATACACCAACAGCTAATTCCTTACAGTATTTCCAGTCTTCATGCGGACCCATTGTGGCATAGGACGATTTTGCTTTTGCTTTTTGGCGAGCTTACGCTTGATGAAAAATTTTTTCAACGCGGCCATTATACCCTGAAAAAGCTTCAATAAGAAAACAGCACAAAGAGTTAATAGCGAGAAGACGATAACATAGCGAAAAACGCGAAAAGAAAAAATCAATGATAATTAAAACTATTTTTATACAAGGTACCCGTAACAGAACATCTATGAGAAAGCAAAGATTGAAAGTTAACTGCTTTTTCCCTTCCAGTGCTTACGATGAAAGATATCGTCAGCGTATGACTGAGTGGGAAGTCTCTTCATTTGTCTATAAGGTTTTTCACCCAAGTCTGGTTGGGGAAACAGCTTGAGCAGCTTGTTGAACTGAGCCGAGGTAATTGAACCAGTTTGGCCTTCTCCTAGGGTTCCCTAAACAAAAAAAATAAAAAGAAAGTTTCACAGGAACAAACCTTTTTAGCTGCTTCCTTAAATTCTAAGGCGGCTTTTTCTGAAGCATGAACACAATCCATATACTCCACATGTTGCTTTGAGCAAGGTTTATCATCAAACTCCCATTTTTTAAGACAACCAAACAAAGCTTGCAACTCTTGTGTACAAGATGATGCTAAAAATGTGAGATAATGAAAGAAAACAATAAAACACGATACCTGCCGCTTTTGATTTTTTCACTGCTACATGATTTTTTGAAGCAAACGGAAGTATTTCAGAAAAAACAGTAACTTTCGGATATACAGATCTACCTTTAGAAAGAGCAGACTCTTTAAATAATGGGGAAGACAAAAACATTTAAAACGGCCTAAAAATTGGGAATAAGTTAAGGGGAACAAACATACTTCACCGCCCGAGACTCTGTTACGGTGAGAAAACCAAATCGTGGTAGGACGATTTAGCTGTGGGGCAACTTTCGCAATAGGGCGCTGTATTGGTTCCCGTTTGCTTAATCGCGTCAGATCGTCGGAAGCTACATAACAGGGAGAGAGTGCGAACCGTAAGACTTATAACATTTTAATAAAAATGGAATCTGAAACACCTCTGACTGCTGCTGAACTACGGGAAAGAAGAAGACAAAGAATACTTGGAAATTCAGAGAATCGTATGAATCGTATTCTTTCTGGACCTAACGGAGGTATTGTGCGCTCATAGATATGATAATTGATATTCTGCAATAGATGAAAACCGAACAGCTCCAGCGATGGAAGGCGGAGAAGCTTTTTCATTTGTTCCACCCCAAAATGGTTTGCTAATTGTTTTTGGTTAATGTAACATAGTATCACATAGTCGACAACACGCAAACGTTCAAGGATAACGCAGAGCTTAAGGATAAAAAAGAATCCTTCGCTGTATCGTTAAGAAGAAAGAAAGAAATAATATCTCTCGTTTTCGGTACACGCGCAGTTAGTTCTAAATTCCATCATCCCTCTAGGTTTATTGTTCAAAGTGGTGACGATGTATATAGGAGACTTCAACGCAATAATTCCATTTGCATTGCTCTTCGTTACTCTAGAATATATGACTTACGCTGTAAAGAAAGATTTTAAGAGTGTTGTCTTAATCGAGTTCTTCAGAAAAACCCTGATAAAGTTAGTGCTGAACACATGCAGGTTTTGTTGTCCATACTTCCTCCAGCCCGTCGACAATATGCTGAGCATTTACGTTAGTAATATTTTCTTGCTTCATTCGCATAATAATTTAGCTGTGATTGTGTCCACCATTCCGAGATTCATGCAGGACACGGTAACCATGATTGGAGGATTTCTTCTAATCCATATTCCATTAATTGTGGTATTGTAAATCCAATAATAAACTTATTTATTTTCTATTCTGTAATACAGTTGAACAGTATATGTCGCAAACGGTCAATCATGTGTTCGTCATTCAATCGGTTCATCATATTATCCAATGCTTCTGTTCCTTTCATGAATTCTTCGATGTTGCCCAATTGCATTTGAATTCGATGATCCGTTATACGATCATGTTGGAAATTATATGTTCTGATTTTCTCTGCTCTGGCTTTTGATCCTACCTAAGATATCTGTTCAAAAAATCTCATGTCAAGCAAGAAACTACCTGTAACTTCCTATCTGAAGAAAAACGGTCACTTTGCTCATCTACTTGCCTTTGCAGAAGTATAGCTGCTAATCGCTTATAGGCTATCTGAGATATAAACCTAATTATTATTAAGGAAATTCAATGCTTACTTGGATGTTTAAATGCTGAAACCTTTCATCCATACAATGAACTGCAATACCCGTGTCTTTGTGCGTCATTCTAACGGCCGTTGATCTCTTATTAACATTCTGGCCTCCTGGTCCCGAAGCTCTCATAGTTTCTATTTTGACTGAGTCTGACGGCACTACGACGGAAACCTGGATTACTTTGTGATGTTGAAAAACAAAGAGCTTAAACCTCCTCGGGTTCAGGAAGAATAGCTACACTGGCGGTGCTGGTGTGCATGCGTGATTTATCTGTTAAAGGTATTCGTTGCACCCTGTGCACACCAGCTTCAAACCTGAATAACATACAAACACATTGTAGGAAATTCGAACTACCTCAATTTTGAATATGCATTTTCTCCTGTCACGCCAATTAAGGCACAGCGGATTCCACCTAAAGCAACATCTTCCAGTTGAATGGGTTCCCACTGACAATTTCCAAAATACAACAAAGAGGTCTTAATCTTCAACTTACTTTCCATCCTTTCCATTCTGCATATTTCCTATACATTTCTAGTAATTCTCCCGTAAACAACATAGCTTCCTGTCCACCAGCCCCGCTGAAAAACCGTCATTTTACATTTTAAAAAAATTTAGCACCTGGTCAACTCTATTTGACATTTTCGGAGTACGTCCATCTCAGTCTTTGGGACTACGGCATTTCCTAATTCAATCAGGTTCTCGTCTAGCGCGTCCTCAAGCATGTTCTTCTCCTCTTCTGCCAGAGATTTAAGTTCAGAATCTTCTTCTAAATGAATAAGTTAACACCATACACTGTTTCGATGTTACTTATTAAAGTCTTCAACTGATCTATCTCTTTTCTTCTGGAGCTTACAACATTTGCCTGCGATTGGATACGTTCCCAGTACCGAACAAGATTACTATCAATTTGTATTTCTCCTACTTTTGCCTATACATCGAGATACACAAATCTAATAGCTTGTAAAGGATTGATATATTTTACCATATTCAACTTTGATGTTATCACAGTTAGAAATTTTTCTCCTTCTTCTGAACATAACAGGGACCTGGCCGTGGAGCTTTTCAAACATTTAGATAGCTTCAACATCTGCTCGAATTAGGAGCACTTAAAGTTTGTAAATAGTAGAAGTTCAAAACAATTTCAGAAGAAACAAAAAAAAAGCCTTGAAAGTTTAATATCATAAATCAGAAAAACAGACGAATCCTAGATTCACTTTTCAATTCGCATCAAAGTAACAATATGTCCAGGACATGAGACAACAAACTAATAAATATATTAGTGAGATAAACGGAACATCGTAAAAAGATTTAAGCTAGAGCTGCAACATCATTAAATGAAAAGAGAAGGCGATTATAAAACGAGATCACAGCTGAATTCGTTGAGGATGAATACGCAAAAGTATGTGAGTTTTTGTTGAAAGAGAGATCATACTTTTGAAAACCTTAAAATTGTTTACTTCGAAGACCTTTAGTGATACTAAAACGAAGGGCTCAGTGGTTAATTCATTAACTTATTCGAACTGCGAGTTATTCTCCATAAGAGAACGTAAGTAGTAACCGGGAGA